GTCGCAGCGGGCAATTCCGCTTCGAGGGAAATGAAAGTCGCAAGGATGTGAAGAAAAAAAAAAAAAAAGAACATGGACGATGACGCGATTCTTTTTCAGTCGTTTTGTTCGTGCATTTTCTACTAGATACGTGATTGATCTTACTTTGGGACACGCGTCCGTTCCTGACTGCCCCACCATGAAATACAGTTGCTCGCCCTTCTCTAACTCAATTACACCACGGACAAGTGCGCCCAACGTACTTCCCATACCGCTAGAACCTTTTCCTCCACGGGCACCCATTCCAATCAAACTGACAATAAGTTGATACCACGGTGTAGATTAGGTTAGTTGAGTTATTACAGTTAAATAACTTACTATGTTACTACTACGTTACTATGTTACTTTATAAACGACTACGTTAATATTTATAATTATAAACGATTGATTTCCGTTTCAACATCGATTCCCAATAGAATATCTCACGTGTAATAGCCACCGCGTGGCGCTGTCCACCGTTGAACTCCGTTCAAATTGTAGGAAGAGGGAGGATGATGATCTTGCAACGTAGTCGCAGGCGCGAGTAACTCTATGTCCGTGCTGTTGTACTCTTCGGCACATTGTTCGCTGCTAGGCCCCGACCTTCCACTATTTCCACACGTGTTAATTCGTAAAACTGCGAGTGCAAAGTTACAAATTCGCCAAAGTTCCCGCGTTTCCAACATTTATTTGTATTATTTATATACACGCCACGCGTGTGTACGATACCAGTTTCGTTGACAAAGTCCGCGTGTTGATCTGGAACTTTCTCCGAATCTATGACGGGGTTGTAGTAATTGAAGTCTCCCACGACTTCGGCAGGCACTCCTGATGACAAACCAAGTTTCAGGGCGTTTCAGTTTCAGTTTCAGACCGAAGACACACAGTATGCACAGAGTGGAAAGAAGAAGCTTGTTTCTGTCATCATTCGATTTGATGAAACACGGAGGTGAGACTTTCCCCGGAGAGGATTCTTTTGAAAAATGGCGAAACAGATTTTCTTAATTTGCGTCCTAACAGCGACTTTATTTATTTTCGATCAAGTTTCACCAACATTTCACTTGATATCATAGTTGCATAGCATCAGTGCATCAGTCCAAATAATGAAATGATGAAACCAACTGTCAACGTTATTACTCGAAATATAAACGTTATATCCAAGCATCCAGAATCGTAATAAAGTCGCTGTTGGAACGCATTTTCTCGTTTTTTGCCATTTCTCGAGACAACTATTCCGTTTTTCCTTCGGGGGGAAAGTTTTACCTTTGCGACGAGTAGAACGCAATGTCAAAAGAAAGAACAAGAAGAATTTTTTGAAAATTCGAGATCCAGGTCAATTTTGCGGCAGGTTCTTCAAATCGAATTCATCTGTGTGGAACCACAACCACGGACAAACTTTACCTCCCACCCTCGATACACGATTGATGGTTGATTTCGGCGGGAAATTTCGAAACTTACCAATGCCGAAACACTCCGGGCTCAGAGAAAAGTCGTCGATTGCCACGTCGGCTTTCGAATAATAGCCTCTGCTTGCCTCAAATTGCAGGAAATATCTGGATAAATAGCAAACACGTGTTAAATTCTTAGTTTCGTTTCCTCGGTATCTCGGATCGAATGTCTGTTTGAACATCTCTACGTAATACATCCAACGAGAATAAAGAGAATAAGAGAATAAACGTGGCATGAATGTAAAATGTGGAAATGAATTTACCTGTACTTGATGTCGGGCAGAGGGACAGCTTGATTGTACCAAACGTCGCTTTTGTCACCGTACAGATAAGTCCACCATAATTGTTCGTGATGGTGTTGGTGCGGTTTTACCTGAATCAGGTACAATCCAAGCGAGCCGCTGTTCGCGCCGTACTGATGATAAAAGAATCGCACCTGTTTACGCACGTGTTATACATTAACCACGAGTTAACCACCCTATATATTTCGTATCTCACATTATATGTTTTTTTTTTTTTTTTTTTTTTTTTTTATATATTTTATGCGATAAATTTCGTTAGAATTGAAAGATGAAAGGCAACCTACTTGACACGATTTGTGATAAGGACTTTTTGGATCGCCGTTATAAGGTGGCGTTGGATTATACAATGGACTCTCGATGGTACCGCGACTACCGTATTCCACTCGAGGTGACATACTTACATAGGCGTATGTCCCTGTAATGGAAAATTGACACACTTGAAACTTTGCGTCGTTTTTCATGCATCGAATACGCTTCTTTAAGGGGACAACAAGGACAGAGAGACTTTCCAGTCTCAGCTCTTTGTAGCAAGTACTTTTTACTTCTCTATCTACGTTTATTTCATTCACTTGGTAGAAAATGGACAATCGAATGTTTGAGATATTGTTTGACATATTGTTTGCAATTCGGTTGAACGTCGTTACCAAAAGCGACGAAAAACAAAAAAACTTCATTATCCAATCGTCGTTCTCGTCAATTTTCATCAACTAGAAATTTAAAGTAGAAAATTTAAAGCGTAGTGTTGTTTCGCGGGACGAGA